AATTGACAAGGCCAAAAAATTGTCATCGAATGTGTAATTACTCGACCGTGACTGTTTTTGTTAAAAAGCATGAAGTTCGAGTTCCATATGTTTTTCGGGTATATTCTTCATATTTGTTACTTTCATGTGTTCTCCATCTTTAATAGATAACGAAAAACAGAAAAAAGCTTGAGTAAAATACGGTGTATGTCCACACGACAATGTGCAAGTGAAGTTAAAATGGCCCAAGCTGGTCGTAGTTAACGAAAATAATGTTTCCTTTCACTGCATGACTGTTTTACTTAAAACCTTTATAATTGTCACCCGAAAAACCTACAAAGCATACCTGAATCCCTTTTAATCGTTAGAAATCGCTAGATTTTCAACAAACACCACAAAATAATCCTAGAGTTTATCAGGAAAAATCAATGGAACCGGAACCGGAAGTGCCCTCCCCTCAATGTCAAACTGGAGGTGTGGAGAATACATGTAACAAGACGTTATGTAACCATTGTTGACAAGCGTAGACAATTTCGATAAGCCCCCTTGTCATCCTTATCTCAACCCTAATCAGCATGTAAAGATGAAGATAGACCAGAGTGTGAGACAGCTTTTCCAGCAGCAGAATCTAGTGGAACTAGAGGACGATCTAGTCTCCAAATGGAAAAACATTCAATAAAAGAATTTTTCTTAAATAGTGTTAACTCTTCGAGGAACGGTTCTCTTGCTGTGAATTCGTTTGAATGGGGTATAATGCAGTATTTAACGTTGTGAATTTTTAATTCTAGGGTGCCTTAAATTTTCTGCATATTGTGTTAATGCGCTTCAATATAATAAATAAATTGAGAAACATTGTTTTTGCTACTTTATTATCCTGTATTGTTAAAATAATTCAATATAAGCTACAAATTGAAAGTATTATAAAAATTTTTTTTACCTGGCAAGCAAAAGAAAAAAAAAAAAAAAAAGGAAAATTTCATTTTCCAAAGGCTTATTGTAAATTTTATTTTTAACTGTTAAAATAATTCAATATATATATTTGGAAAAAAAGTGGGGGGGCGGGGTAAAGCAAAAACTTGCCTGGGGACTTAGAAAATTTGACTAGTATATATCCTTAACATCATCCATCAACAACAACATTACTTACGTATGTGATTTAAATGAAAGAAAAAATGACGATGTGTTAATTTAAATTCATTTGAGATAATTTCCAAGTGTGGTAAAAATAACCCACACCGAAGTTTCTTTTAATATGCACATAGAAATATCCTCAGAATAGCGGTTTAGCACAGACTAGTACTTCCTAGCAAGAAAACAAATACCTATATGTAATCCATGTTTGGTAAAATTTTAAGTACGCATTTATGTTAATAAATAGAGGTCACTCATGTGAAAACCTTTTGGCACCCTATACTCAACATGCATGTAATGACACTGTGCATAATGGGTATATTATGATGGGATTTTTAGGCGATTGAGGACTGTATGTTTTTATGATTTAGTAGGTGAAACAATTTAAAAATAAAATAAATGGATTGGAATTTTCTATATTGAATTTAGAGGGGAAAATTGCTGTGTTTTGAAAATAAGTTAGAATATTAAGCTCTAAATATTCTTACCAAAACGTGGAAGATATATGTACAAATAGACAATCTTGCAATTCAGTGTGTTGTCCTGTGTTACAATAAGCATAGTGAAATCAATTTTCTTTGGAGAGAAATTTTCATTGTTTCATTGCATGTGATTGGTCATCAGCAAAACCATTTCCTCCATCTCCACTCTGATTGTAAACACAATTACTTTGGAGTAGATATAAAGGGATGCTGGAGTTCCTCATTGGTAACATGTAATAGTATGTAGTCTTCGGAGACCAAAATTACCAGCAAAATAAAAAAATGTTGGATATTCTGATGGACACTTATTTTGTTCCATTATTATGATTTTACCCTTTCTTTGTTCCTATGAATATAGTTATTTTCATTTATATCTTGGCTCAATATATCCCTCGCAGTGAACTTGAAATAAAGAACACAACAGAGTCTGCCATATTTGATTAATTTTTGAATATGTTGCACAACCATTCCCTTTGATAAACTTAAGTCCACGCTTTTTGATATTAATGAAAGCTGCTTTTTCACTAAAAATGGAACTTGTAAATTTACTAACCTTGTCATTTGTCATTTGCAAAATTATTTTGTTAAAAACGTTCTATTGTAGGCACAAGTACTCTAAGGTTGATATTAAAAGGATGCTTGAGTTTCTGATTGACAATATCAATGTGGTGTTTGGAGACCAGGTTTTCCAACAATCTATTGGAATCCCCATGGGTACAAATTGTACCTCATTACTAACAGACCTTTTTCCTTGTATTCATATGAAGCAGAATTTATACGAACTCTTGTACGTGAAAAGGAGAAAACACTTGTTGTGGCTTTCAACTCGGCATTTAGATAATTATATCAAGGTCAATTAACAATGGCTATTTCTATAACCATGTCGATGCCAAATATCCTGGTGAGCTTGGGATAAAAGATAACCCAGCGTCTGACGCGATATGTTTCAAATTTGGATACCAGGTACTAGTATTTTACTTGAAAAAGACGATAATGGTAATCTAGCAACCAAGCATTATTATATTAGCTTTTCAATCTTCAACTTCCCTTACTTATGCAGCAAATATCTTCATCACTTGCATACGGGGCGTAACGATTTATCGCTTTATATATTCTGGATTTGCAAGTCGGCCCTTGGGGACCTGTATTTGGCTGAAGCAGATCACGTGACTTAAAACAAAGACAAAGATAAGCGAGCGCAGCTCAGCTGCGGCATTCTTTTAAGTTCGATTGCCAGAGATGGAAGATAAGGTTAGTTGGGTTTAAGGTCTAATATCAAGGCTAACCACAATATTTTAACAATACTAGGTGGATTGCCTGACGTTGAAGGCTTGTGACAATGAAATACCGTATAAAAAAAATTTTAGCAAGGACTTAATTTTGACATTATTAGCGAGGGAGCCAAGATCGCTGAAATTGATTATTGCTAAAAAACGATTGCGCATTAATTGTGATGGCTTCTTTCGTGACCTTTTTAAAATCGCTAAAATTACATCTCGCTAAAAATGAAATACCCATTTTTAAGAACAAATTGCTAAATTTGTGTCTCGCTAAAATTTCCACTCATACGGTAGTTGTATTGTGTTACTAACCATTTAGAGGCCGACCCTAGAGGGAAGTCAACCAGTCAGAGACTTGACTTGTAACTTTTAAGACAGTGCAAGTCTCTGATAGCATGGATGACTGTACTTCCTGAATACGGACAACTCAGGATATCATCTGTTGTCAGAGGCTGACCACTAGTAGTACGTTAGGACTGGACATGGTGACAGACACTACGAGCCTGGATAAGGCATGATTGGTGTCTGTCCGGTACATTTGTGAACCTCTGCTTTCTTTTGTAAATATAAGGCCGACCATCAAGTGTGATGTTCCCCTTAGTAAGGGAAGGGTCATATCTGTATGTATTTGCAGGCCAGTCATTTAAAAGATCATTTTAAAGAGGAAATTATTTATCCAAACCCAAGATCCTGGAATCAACCACGTACTTACCCCTCAACACGTTAAAGGGTTTTATACCTCTCAGTTGATTCGATTTGCAAGAGCATACTCTTTGTATATAAAAGAAAGGATTTTTATCAAATAATTAAATTTTCTTATGAAATTTACATTAAATTTCTTTATTTGCCATGCAAAACTACGTCAACGGGAAACAACACCTTACAAAAGCGAATAACAGGTCTAAAACCAGCTTAAATCATACTCTGAAAAGAGAAGTAACTCTAAATGACTAATAGTCTATTAGTCAAGTTAAAGTGTCTTTTTGTCCAATTTTGCCCCTCAAGCCACGATACAATTGTTTGCATTTTACTTAATAAACACATTTCTTTTGGAGAATCATTTGGGTTAAACATTATATATGAATGAGCAGAGGATTAGTAACCCTTAAATTTAGTATTAAAGACATCCATGGTTTCATAGCTGTTTTATATCTAAAGTGATCCATTTGGAGAGATATATAACAAAGGCATCCCTGATAAGGAAACATTTAAAAACATTTGTGTAACCCTATGCTAAAGAAGCACCTTCATTTTCATACGAAACTAGCAATATTTTTTTTCGTTGAAAAGTTTATGGTTTAACCGTGTGTTGTAGACAAAAATGGCAATGTTTCTAAAGGATTTTTCTCTCTCTCCCAAATAAATATTATTTTTGATGAAGTACTTTTTTCAAAATAATTAAGAAGGATATATCAATTTTTCAAGACATTTTAAATGAAATAATAACATAAAGATTTGAACTCGTAATTTCATGTAACCTTCTTTTTACTGGTTGTACTCGAACAGTTTTATCGATCTAGGCGTTACAATGATGGAAGTCAAGGAAATAAACATGACAAAGAGACATAAATACAGGTGTATCGGTTTCAGATCCAGAACGTCTGTTACCCACCATTGTTTATTTCTAATTCAGGAAAGAAGCTAAGTACCGTGTACATTTATTTGTGTTAACGCCTAATACATTAATTGTCAGTCTTCACAAAAGGTAGATGACGAATTAAAAAAAAACTGAATGTTTAATACAATTGTCTTTAGATACTAAAAAGAAATTCCGGAATATATAAGTATGTGGGCAAAAAATAAAAGATTTGTAATTGTATTGCATATCGAGCCCTTTTCAAAATACTTACTATGTCAGAAAAATTAGCTTGCTATATTTTAAGAATGATTCCAAGTAAGTCAAAGGTGTTGTTAGATTCCTGGAATAACCCTGTGAATGTAATGTGACCTGAATGTGTTTTGGTCAATATTCACCGAAATTCAACCAAATCCGGAAGAAGGTTCAGTTCATTATTAAAACGTAATAGTTCTAATTAAGAGTTCGCCATCCAAAATGGTTGAAACTGAAAGTACAGCAATGCAGGTTCCTAGAATTTACATCACAAAAAACGTTAGTGATTTTCATGACTTATATATAATTACCAATGTTAGGGTTTATCCAGGGAAATGTTTATGAAATGGCAGAGGGTATAAATTCTAGTCAGGGACCGAGAACAGCTAAAGAAGTCTTAGTACCTCAGAGATCTCACTGAAGATGTTTGAAAACAATGGAGTGAGTTCTGATGACGCAGAAGTTTTTGAATTTTTTGGATATGGGTCTCTTCTGTGGAAACATGATTTCAAGTTTTCACAGAAAAAATTAGGTTTTATTAAAGGTTTCCAGCGGAAGTTCTGGCAGGAAAATAAAACACACCGTGGAACAGAAGGAAAGGTTGTTGGTTTGTTAGTTTTTTTTTCAAAGATAATTTCAATATAATTATCTGTCTAAAAGGTTCTCTGATAAGCATTTTTGAATTCATCCATTCATGTAATGAAGATTTTTGTGTTTAATTTCAGCCTGGAAGAGTTGCAATTTTACATGAAACAATGGAAAATGTGAGTAACATAGGAGGGTTTTTTTTAATTCTAAAAAATAAAAATAAGCCGTCAAATTTCACGATTTACTCAATGGAATAAAACTGTAAATCTTATTTTAAATCTAGGATGTTCTGTGTGGCGTGAAATTCACCGTAGTTGGATCCGCCAATATTCAAGAAGTCAAGCAGAAACTTGATGTTCGGGAGACAGTGCTAGGGGGATACACGTCCTTTCACACCACGTTCTACAACGAAGATGGCGTCCACTCCAAAGTTCTTGTTTTCAATGCTACCAAGGAAAACGATCTCTACGTGGGACCCAAGTCGGACAAGTTGGAAGAAGATGTAGAACACATCGCCGAGCAGGTGGTTGCAGCAACAGGGAAAGCGGGAACCAATGCAGAATACGTCATTAAACTGGCCTACTTTGTGCGTCGCTTTTTCCCTAATGAAAACGATGAACACTTATTTTTACTTGATGAAAAAGTGCAAGAAAAACTTGGAAATGACTCTGAAAGTATTGTCACATATCATCAACAAGTAGAAAACAATATTCATCACGTATAATGATAAACACGGTAAAAAGATTTATCTGCAACATTGCAATCATTTTATGTTTGCGCTTTTAAACGCATATAGGGTTCTTCGGATGCGATCTTAAAATTCAGGCCCCGTGTAACGACAGGCGTTGTCACGATAGAAATTCCCCACTGCTTATTGGCCCTAAGTGCCGAATTAAGATAAAAATTTGATGCCTTTCATCGGTAGACGGTAACTTCTTTGTATGTTTATGAGTGCAAAAACTCAAATTGGACGTAAGGCAACACATAATCATTCAAAACTCGCAAAGGCATTCAGAGGATTTGTAAATCTGATCAGTCTTCGTGCATGTATTTGCTATTAAATGTCATTGTAATAAAATGTAATGGTTTTATTACAAGTGTTAAAATGTGCTCTAAAATATTCTAACAACTAATGTTGCCAGTTCAGAATAATTCAATTATAAAGAAATATTAGCATGCATATTTTTCAAAATATTGTTTGCGAACTTACCTACTTGAAGGATTTGATCCTATCAGAAAGTTTAAATAACATGTATGCAAATGCAGAAATGCACGTGAAAACACAATTGTTATATACTAAGTAAATTGCATGTATGTACTTTTTAAAACTTATTTTAGATTAAAAATGTAAATCTCTTTTGTCTGTAAATAATAGAATCAGAATGTATGACTACAATTGTGATTAAAACAATGGATTGATAATGCTTGTGTGTGAACTTTCTGTAGCTTTATTAGTTGTTGTGGAGAATTGTAAATAAAGCACTGTAAATACCTTCCTGTTAATTCCACTCACCTGAGCATAGATAACATATGTATATGGCTAAAGATCACAGAATAAACAAGATTTTTTCAATATTTATACATGTAATTTAATAATAATACAATATGACATGATTTTATTTCACTTTTTCTTAATTATTTCACGTGTTATACTAAATAAACTATTTACCTAAGACACAATTACCTAGTTTTTTTTTTTTTTTTTATCTTACTTTACTTTGTTTTGCAAGATACATGTTAATGAAACTACACTTTTTTGTTTAAAATCCATGTTGAGAGACTTTCTCAATATTAAGGTATGACTAAATAAGAAGGACTCATCCTCTTCGCCATTCATGATAAGCCCGAGGAAAAAAAAAGAATTTGTTCCAGAACAGGAAGCTTTTCATATCCTGGAAGCAACAATAATGAATAGCATATCGGATATCTGCCAAGTCTTCTTATTTAATGCCCCTGCGTATTAAATCATTTGTGCTCATATTAAATCACTATGCTCATAATACCGTCAAAATTAAATATTAAAATTTGTTCAGACACCTGTAGAATCTGTAAGCGATACATGTACAATATTAAAGAAAATTTTAGATATAATCATTGCCTATCTGACTCACATCGGCCATTCATTTATAGCAGATGATATATTTCTTTTTAAAGTTATCATTTACATATGTGCTTGTTGTTGTTGTTGTTGTTGGGGTTTTGCATTGTTTTGGATATTTTTGTTTGCTAGAATTTTGGATAAACTTCTTTATTTTCATTTTTTCGAGAAAAGGTAAAACGTATTAATTAATATTGATTCACATAAAAGAACATATCGACAAACAAAACGAAATATATAGCAAAACAATAAATGGGGGACCTAATAACTAAAACAATGTCCTGGTGGATCAATAATATGGAGTAATCAAAGTAATCAAACTCAAAATCCAAAAGAAACATACAAATCAGATGAAGCGCAAACAATAGAATTAGGAGACATATACGAATAACCATCTTCGGCTGATCGGTCACGTCCGCCGTGTGCTCCTTGTCACGGTGCACACGATGCACGAAATAACGGGAAAATCCGTCAACAAATCTGTGTATAAATAATGGTATAATAATTTCTATGAAAAATTGACAATTAGGATTCCAGATAATGATAGATTTTATTCAACGATAAAGTCAATCATCGTATGAACCAAGAACTTGCAAAAACTGAGTTATATGAAACTGTTTATATTTTTGTTTCATCAATGTTTCTATCAATTTGTTTGTCAATAACATCTTATTAGCAAGATTTCCTAAATCGAGCATGCATTTTCATACATAACGAAATGGAAAACCTATGAAAAATATTAGAATACGGAAATCCCGTTCTTATTTGTATGATCTAGGGTAATATACCTGTTAGAAGGCTCTTGGAAAATTAATTTATTAATTTTTATTGAAAAAAAAAGAATAAAAGAATATAGATTTTGATCATTTAGAGAAACTGATGAAAAATCCATGTTTATAAAAATCCATGTTTACATATTTTTAGCATTTAAATAAACTGTACTTCTATATTGCAAAAACATAATTATATTAACTAAAGGTGAAAAAAATATTTTATTTTTATTTTGAGTTTTTCAAAACAGGACATTAAAATTACAATCAAATTAGAAGTATTTATACTTCCTTTTTTGGTAAAGGAAAAAACAAATTCTGTTTATGATACATGAGCATTGGTGCATCACTGATTTCAAAAGACAGATATGGAAATTAACCACACGCAGTTGTTCTCATATAACCTAATTAAAGGTCATCACAGTACATACATTTTGCTCAATGAATTTAGCTCAGTGAGTGTTTATGATCCAAAAGAAAATCAGTAAAGTGCAAGAACTTTTTGTTATCTTTTGTATGATTATTCAGCAGAAGGCGTAAACAACGAAGTCGTCTTGACATAAAATAAATCAATCATACTTCATCGTTCTTTAGAAAATTAAAAATCGATACTGAAAACCAATACAGGGTAATGACCCCATGTGTACCAACATTTGGGTTTTGGAGAATAAACTGAACTTGAACTTGACAGAAAACTTTAGGTTTGTTTGTTTGTTTGTTGTTGTTTTTTTTACTGGTTTTTCATAGTTGATTTGCCTTCTGAAGAGCAGATTACGACATACAACTAGTTTTTTTTATATTTAGCTACAAGAAAAAAATAACGCATAGTATATAGACAGGAATGTTTTCAAGGTAAATGTTGGTAAATGAATAAAGATACAACTCATTGGAATCCTATTTGCACACTGTATATTTTATGTGCATGTGAAACTAATAAATATATCTTATTTAAAGAAAGGGGGCTTAGGAAACCTTTCGGTTATGGGGGATATTGGTTGAAATTTCAGTTTCATATACATAAATGCAAATTTCACCAAACTGTAATGAATGGAAACAATTCAAAATAGAATTCATGTTGTGAATGTTGTTATAGCAAGGAAATCAAATTGTTTTAAAATAAAATCAGAAATTGACAATTAAGCAACATAAACATTTTAACCATAACAGTATTATTAAAAGTTTAACGCATTAAAATCAATCATAGATTAAGAATTCCGAAACAATCTAAACTTTAAAAAAAAATGTAATCAAAGCATAATGGCGACTTATAGTAGACTTGATATATTATACATCCAAGTAAACTTTAAAAAAAATACATGGCAGAGTCTGTCACATTGCTTTCATATTTTGGTATTTTAATGACTGTAGACAACTACGGCCTAAATTAAAAAAAAACGTAATCAAAGCATAATGGAAAATGGCGAGTAATGTGTAAAAATAATGGTGTGGGAATGAAGGAGGCGTGGCTATAATTTTATATCATCTTCTGATAAACTATGTTGATGGTCATGTAATATAAAAATATTTACATAAATATATAGTATACAATACAAACATACAATACACACAGAAAATAAAGCATATATAAGATTGTAAATAAAATGGCATAAATAGAAAGACTGAACAATACTAAGAAAATCATAGCATTAGAAATTATAGACAATTTACATAGAAAATACATGTTACATGATAAACTAGAAGTACTGTGAGTACTGAGTTTACAAAATGATACCCTTGTCTCCCCCGCTATTGGAATCCCGAACTATGTGTCGTATCAAAACGAAAACAATACGAGGTGCATATTAGCATTAAGTAAAACCGATTTTGAGAAAGTCTCATTAAATTTTTTGCAGTGGTATAGCAGGAGTTGCGGATAAGAGATGGGTACCCAAAAGCATAACGGACGGACTTATAGATGAACAAAAAGGACACACCGATCACTATATATATATCCCCTGCTTTTCAAGTGGATATAAATGGGAAAATGATATGTCATAATTAGAAAATGGTTAACAGATGTTTCTATGATTCCAGATCTCACTAAAACTGACACAACGGTATTTTTGTGACCCAGTCTTGTTTGTTGCCTTCACTTTCACATTGTGTATTTACAAACACGGCATATTTTTATATTTCGTAAGTACAGGGTGTACTTTACTTCCAGACTTTTTAATTCACGTGCCCTACAATTTACAGATTATTTGGGAGTTTTATTTGATAACTTGAATGAAATAATTATTAACAAGTTATCCAAAATCCCCTACCGGTTAGAAGAAGAAAATATCTTTGTGAAGCCTTATTGCACGTCTTTAAAACATGACCGAATGGGTTTTTTTAAATACCGTATAAAGTATAGCGAGTTAGACGACAAGCTTGATCTCTTCCATTTATAATCTAGGAGGAAACTAAATGTTAATGCTTAATTGAATAAATCCCAAATCAGGCTTGATTTGATTTTTTTCATGCAGCAAATTTCCGATTATTTACCTTAATAGCCTTAATTACCTTGATTCCACTGTATTTGGAATCATAGAAACGGTTTTGCAAAAGGGAGATATGCATCCCATAAAAGTAAAAGAAAAAACTAAAAACTTGTGATAATAATTAAAATTAAAACTATGACTAATTTTAAAAGTTACATCAAAGCTCACTAACATTGCAGTATTATGAATTATGATTCATTGTCTTAGTGAGTCGCAATGTTTTATCGATCACCATCGATCCTACAAACAGAAAAAAAAATTCAATACCATGTCTAATGACATTGGTCTTATGTCTTACTAAGTGTCCTTGTTAAAGAATTTTATTAAGTTTTATTAGTAGTTTTCCCTTTTATTACATTGTATTAGTAGTGTTTTCCTGTGGACATTGGGTGAATATGTAAATTCAAATGAAACCTCTCTATACATGATTTATGTTTATGAAATTAATGACAAATGATTATTGTTAATTAAATTAATGACAAATATCTAACTCATCATCCTGAAAGTGAAAGCAGAACTCATTCTGTTTATGATCAGGTTCAGATGCAAATACTAAATTGTTTACCTTATTAATTAAACTGAAAGTGCAGTATATCCATCAGAGATACATCATAAAAACTCATAAGAACAGGTGGTTGCAG